CCCCCCCCCCCCACCGTGTCCGCGGGGGCCGTCCCTTACTGAGCACCTGCTCCGCACCTCGGGTCGGGGGCGCATGCGCCGTGTGGAGCCCGCCGGGGTCTCTGCGCCCTTGTGCCCTGCACCTGTTCTCAGAAGAACGTTTGCGAGTAACCTCACGTGTCTTAAGCCAGACGGGATTGCAGAGGAACCCGCTGTATAGAAACGCACAGAGAGCCCTGGGGGGGAGGGGCGCCGTGGACCCCCAGGTTCAGAGCATCTGCCACGCCCCTGCAGACCTCAGCTTCCGCCTCTGTAGAATGGAGATAGCAGAGAGGGGGGCCTCCGTCGGCCCGTCCTGGGCTCAAAGGGAGATGAGATTTAGAGATTAGTGACAGTGCAGTCCCACGAGTCACCGTGATGCCCGGACTCTCTGCTGGCCTTGGGCTCGGGGGCGGGGGCGGCAGTTGCGTGCGCCCTGGCTGAGGGGGCCCGGCTGGGTGAGCAGAGGAAGTGCCTGGCACATGGTACGCGCCGAAGGAGCTGTGGCCACGGCTTGGCGTCTGAGCGCCCTGCAGCGCTGTGTGCGGGACAGGTGGGACAGGAGCAGCAGGCCAGGGTCCCTCAGCCCCCGGTGGCTCCCTCCCTGCAGCCCCCGAAGGATGATGCAGCCATTGTGGGGGCCGTGAGGCTCTTCTCCGTGCTGATTGCTGCCCTCACCATGGACCTGGCTGGCCGCAAGGTCCTGCTCTTTGTCTCAGGTGAGCACCGGCCTGGCCCCTGCACTGGCCCACTCCTCCCGCAGGGGACGATTGTGTGCTGGCCCACGTGACTGGGAGCCCCGGGGCGAGGGGGGGGATGGCTGGGTCAGACCTGCCCTCCTGGCCCTGCCCCCACCAGCGCCCAGCACAGGGCCTGGCGGCCACGAGCTGCTTCAGAAAGACCTGCTGGGGCTTGGGTGAGCAAACGAGCCAGTCGTGAGCCACACGGTGGATGTGACAGCAGCTCACACGCGGGCAGGGTCAGAGCTCTGCAGGAAGTGTCCGGTCGCAGACGGGCCACGACGGCGGCCTGGATGAGAAATGGGCTGCACGGGGTGCAGGGTGCTGAGGAAGCACCGGGCTCAGACGGTCCCGGCCCCTCCGAGGGCCACCGGTCTGTCCACAGCCACCATCATGTTTGCTGCCAACCTGACGCTGGGGCTGTATGTCCACCTCGGTCCAAAGCCTCCGACTCCCAACAGCACCGTGGAGCTCGAGAGTGCGCCCTTGGGGGGCACGGAGCAGCCCCTGGCCGCACCCACCAGCTACCTTACCCTGGTGCCCCTGGTGGCCACCATGCTCTTCATCATGGGTAGGTGTGGCAGTGACCCCACCAGGATGGGCGGGGGGCGGGGGCCGGAGGGCCGAAGGCCAGCCAGAGAGGGGCTGTCTGGGGCTTAGGTGTGGGGGACGTGCTAGGGCACTGGCAGGGCACCGCTGTCCTGGTCTGTCAGGGTGGTTGGGGAGGGGTCTCGGCAGCTCAGTGGAGGCAGAAGAGGCCCCACATCCCCTGTGTCGGCAGGCTACGCCATGGGCTGGGGGCCCATCACCTGGCTCCTAATGTCTGAAATCCTGCCCCTGCAAGCCCGCGGGGTGGCCTCGGGGCTCTGCGTGCTGGTCAGCTGGCTCACCGCCTTCGCCCTCACCAAGTCCTTCCTGCTGGTGGTGGTGAGTGCCGGGGGGCTGAGCTCAGGGCTTCAATGGCACGGCCTCTAAGTGCCACACAGGTCCTCCCGGGCCGGGGCGGGACCAAGCCCAGAAGGCCGCACTTGTCCACATGGCAGTTTGGGTCTCTCAGCATGGATCTCTGCTGGTCAGCCCACATCCGGCTCTGTGCCCGCTTCCCCCATGCCACACACACACACACACACTTGGTTCAAACCCCTCCCTGGGCAGCTCGGCCGGTGCCTACCCTGGTGGAGCCAGTGGGTCAGGGCAGGGTCGGGGGAACCCAGAGCGAGCACAGCCCCAGCAGAGAGGCACAGACGAGCTTGGGGCAAGGCAGGAGGGTGTGTGGAGTGCGCTCCCAGCCAGACTGTGGTGGCAGCACCGGGCAGCGAGGGAGAGAGGTGGGGGGGGGGGGGGGGGGGGGGGGGGTCTGAGCCAAGGCTGAGACCAGAGGTCCAGGCCCCAGGTCCAGGCCTGGGCAGGCTGCTGCCCTCGAGTGGAGGAAGTCCTCGGGGCCCGGCACCACGGGGAGGCCGCCCCAGACCTGAGGGCCTGGGGGACGGGACTGGGGGGGAATGGCTAAAGCATTTGCAGTTCCTGCGGGAGGCTGTGGAGCCCAGAGAGGCCCGCTGGGATAAGCAGGAGCATGCTGGGAGCCCCCGTGTGACCAGGCATTCCCTCCATGTCCCCAGAATGCCTTTGGCCTCCAGGTGCCTTTCTTCTTCTTTGCTGCCATCTGCTTGGTCAACCTGCTGTTCACCGGCTGCTGCGTGCCTGAGACCAAGGGCCGGTCGCTGGAGCAGATCGAGTCCTTCTTCCGCACTGGGAGGAGGTCCTTCCTGCACTAGGTCAGGGTCCCCACCTGGGAGGGGCCAAGCACTGGACGCCGGGCCTCTGTGCTGGCCACAAGCCTGAACCCCAAGCCCAGGGGGCGACAGCAACATGCCATCAGACGGAGCCCAGGACCAGACAGAAGCATGACAGGCCCCCCCGAGTGCGCTTCTGGCCCTGGGCAGGCTGGGCCCCAGCCTGGGCCCCAGCTCAGCCGTGCCGCACGCTCGTCGGCCAAGACCTGCTGGCAGAGGAGACAGCCATGGGCCACAGGGGAGTACATGGCCCGGGGTCCAGGATGAAGCCGGGGCTGAGCAGGGGAGTACGCAGCCCAAGGTCCAGGACAAGGCCCTGCTGGGTGACCCCAGGGCCTTGGCCCTTACTCAGGCTCAGAGGATGCCCCACACAGGGCTGCAATGAGGACAGAGCCAGGCAGGGCAAGAGGCAGTGGACGGCTCCACACAAGGACGTCGTCGTGCCATTTTGTTCTGATCACTTAGTCACCATTGAGCATCCTAACCACAGGGAGGAAGACAGATCTGCACTTCTGAAAGCTGTGGATGCCACAGAGAACATTCTGGACTCCCAGGCCAGGGCACAAAGCCCAATACAGACCTTCCTCCTACACCCACCCGATCTCTGGGAACAGGGCTCTTAAGTGCCCCTGTCTGTAAACCATGTTCACCCCGTTTGTAAAAATAAATCAGGCTCTCGGCCCTGGCGTGGAAGGGAACGGGGTCTGTCGTAGGTGGGGGAGCCCACGCAGCAGCCAGGCTCGGCCAGACCCAAACTCTCAGCCAAGGCTACCATGGCCTAATGCCCCAGGCAAGGCCCGCTTTGTGGGGTCACAGGGAGGCAGAGAGAAGGGGCAAGGCAGCCCGGGAGGGAGAGCCTGGTCACACGACAGCCCCATCCGACAGGCTCCGGCCCTTCCCGGCTGTGTGACCTCGACAAGCCACTTGCCTGTCTGAGATGCTGCCAGCAGACCTGGGACAGGGCCAGCAGCACAGAAGGTCCTCGATAAAATGGCAGTTCCTCCCAGGACCAGCGATCCCGGCCCCCGTACTTACGGTATCAGAGGGAGAAAGGAGCAGGCAGAGTGGGCGAGCGAGCATTCAGACCACGGCCAGGCTTTATTGCTCAGACAAGTTAAACACGGAGCGTGAACGAGGACCCCAAGAAGGCAGAGTCCAGACCCACTGAGGCAGGAGTGGGCCCTGGCAGCCCAGCCCCTTCTGCCACCCAGACAGACAGACGTTCCCTGCGGGCGGCAGCCCACACGGGCGGGGGACAGGATCCCCGGCTGCGGGACTGCTCGGCTGCACTCACTGGGAACCTTGGGCACGTAGCATGTCCATTCTTGCCTGTGACTGAGGGGTCAGAGGGCCCTCCCACCTCTGCACCTGCCTCCAGGGCCCCCCCACCCCCACCCCAGCAGACCTGCTGACAGAACGGAGGTGCAACCTTCCGGGACACACAGCCAGCCCTTCCCCTCCTGCAGCAGGGAGAACCCCGCCAGCGAGGCCCCTGCAGCAGGGGCAGGAGGGCTGGGCAGAAGTGACCCCCGCGTCCCACTTCCCAGATAAGAATGAGCCAAGAGGGGCGGGCAGGGCCCTTGCCCCTCCTGGGAGGTAGACGGTCTTGTCCACGGCACACAGAGCAGACACACACACACACGCACACACACACTCCCGCCCGCCTGGAGAGGCCTGGAGCCCACAGCCCTTTGAACCCTGCGCTGGCTTGAGAAAGGTGGTCCCAGAGGACCCCTGAAGGCACGTGTCCCACCCGCCGGCCACGCCGCAGGGCCCACGCCCCCCCCCCGGGGCTCGGCCAGGTCGGGCTCGCTGGAAGGCTGCTGGGGGCTGCCGCAGACCAGGATCCCTGTGCGCGTCCCCCGGGACAGTGAGTGCTGCTCCTGCGAGGAACGCTAACGAGCCCCAGGGAGGAGGGCTCCCTCTGGGAAGCAAGGATCTGGACACAGCTCTAGGGGTGGTTTCAACAAAGGGGGGCTGGGCCCGAGCTCAGGGTTCTGAGCAGGGCCCAGCCGGGGGCCCTGGGAGAAGGACAAGTGGGAGCCGGGCCCCAGACCGAGCCTTTTCCACAGCAGCCCGTTTCTCCCAGCACCGCCCAGGCTCAGCCAGGCCCCACCAGACACGCCTGGCAGCTGGGCGCCGGTCGGGCTGGCGGGGCAGGCAGCGGGCCGAGGGAGAAACACACGGGACACCAGGAACAGCGGATGGAGGGAGGCCGGGGTGACAGTGCGCATCCCCGCCAGGGCGGCTTCCTCAGGCCCCCACACGGGCCAGGCACCCGGTGCGCACAGCTCGTGGTGGTGGAGGCGGCTCTGGCCCCTGCCCAGCTCCCCAGAGACCAGAGTAGGGGGCAGGCCAGCAGGAATACGGAGGTGGGCGGAGCTCGGCCCCGCTGCCTGGGCTGCGGCCACGGCCGACACGGCAGGGGCACACAGACAGGTGGACGAGCAGCCCCACGGGGCAGGGGAGAGCCTGCCCTCCGCGCTTCCTTGGCACCGGGCCCTTGGGGGCCGTGGGGGAGGACCCATGACAAGCGTCCCGGAGTGGCCTGTCCGAGGTTCCCGGGAACTGGGGAAGGGGCGCTCCCTAGCCAGCCAGCCAGCCGCTGCTCTGGGCACTCGAGGAGCATCCCGGGACTGCTGTGGGCTCCCACGGAGAGCAGAGCGGCGGGGAGGGGCCTGGGCAGCGGGACGAGGCCGGGGGCAGCAGCACACTGCCCTTCCCCGAGGGAGAGCCACAGGAGGCTCACCCCACCCCTGCCCAGGTTGCCGTGCCTCCCAGCTCACGCCAGGACCGGCATCCCCCAGGAAGCTCCTCCTGGCCCTGCGGCCCTGCGAGCGGTGTGAGTCCGGACACCCACCCGGCAGCCTGGTTCCAGCGGAGCCGGGCCAGCTGCGAGGGGCGGGGCCAGGCGGGCCGCCCATGCGCAGCCACTGCGGGCTCCGCTCTGCCTCCAGTCCTGCGGCCTGGGTCACCCCGAGGCCCACGCTGCCTGCCTGCTGCCACCTGCCTGCTGTCTCCTTGCTGCTGGCCAAGGCCCGGGGCAGGAGACACAGATCTGGAGAGAGGAAAGACAGAAGAGGATTCCAGGTGTAGGGACAGGTGTAAGGGGGCTGACAGGAGCTAGGCAAAGGCTCCTCTTCCAGGCTGTTCTCCAGGGTCAACGCTCCAGGCCTCATCCCTGCAGGCCGTGCTCACACAGAGTCCGAGGGGCGAGCAGGAAGGAGCGGGTCACCTGACCTGCCTCACAGCTCTCCCTCCAGGGTGTCCGTGAGCTTCTCCTCATCAGCCTGCTGCTTCTGCTGCTGGATCCTGGCATAGGAGATCGCGTCGCCCCTGGGGAGACAGCGAGTCAGTGTCACAGGACGCCCAGTCCTCCCACCCACCAGCAGATTCCTGGCCTGTGACCGAGGCTTCAGCTGCAGGGACAGCAGGTGTCCCCAGAGACCCTGCTGCTAGGATAGCCGCCTCTAAGAGAGGCACAGGCTGCCCGGGATCTTGGATTCAGAGTTGCAGCCCGGGCTCTGAAGCAGAGGGCGGCAACGGACTGGGACGCCAGGCGTGGGCGCTGGACGGGAAGAGGCTCTGCCGAACCACAGACCTGCCATCCCCACTGTCGGCTGTGGCGGGGCACAGCCAGGCCACCAGGAAGTCCACCAACCCTCCTGCTCTCATTCCCGTGAGCGGCAAACACCCTGGGGACACTGATGAGAGTCACTGACAACTGCCGTGCCCGTTCCCACAAGCGGACACCAGGGGCCCCTCCTGGACCCTCCGCACTGAGAAGACTACAGGAGGTGGGATGTGAAGATCCCTCCCAGGGGCTGGGAGAGGCAAACGCACTTTTTGCCCAGAGCCGAGAGTCCGTACAGCACCCCAGTGGCGAAGGCGATGGCGTTCCCCAGCAGCGTGGTCAGGGTCAGGCTGATGACGATGGGGACGATGGCCATCCTAGGAGAGAAGCCCAGGTCAAGGCGGTACCCCTGCCCTGCGGCTGCCATATGACTTCCAGGCTCCCCAGACTAACCCAGGCCCCCCCTCCCAGAGAGCCAGGTGCAGAAAGGGTCCCCAGAAATCAGTCCAGACACAGGGTCACGGCCAGGCTTCAAAAAGTCCTTAGACACCCGTGCACTTGTCTGCGAAGTTCCGTGTACTTTCTGAGGCGAGGACCCAAGCCTTCATCAGACCTCTGGAAGGGTCTGTGGTACACAGGGTAAAACAGCGCTGGGGTCATCCACCCACCCCTTCGGGGGACAGGCCGACCCGAAAATCTCCTGTCAGTTCCTCCCTAGCGGCTTTGTGACGGGCCAAGTTCCTGAACTCCTCCCGTGTGAACTCCACACACAGTGCCTGGAACAGCATCAGCACCAGGTAAAGGTCAGCTCTTCGTGGTGCAGTGAAACCAGCCTTATCTCAACAAGAGAGATCCCAGAGCGTGAACCGCACAAGGCAAGGGGTTTCCTTCTGGTCCCCGCCACGGTTGGGCGCCCCCTGGCGGCAGGTGTCCCCTCTGGCTCGAGTGTCCATGGGCTGACCCTCGATTCCGGCTGGGATTTCCAGACCCCCGTGGCAGTGGGTTAACTAGGCCAGGGAGATACCGCAGCCGGAGGACCAGCGCTCTGTCCCGTCGCTTCCCTGGGCGATGCCGTCTGGCCCAGCAGCCGCACCCGCCCACGCACACCCCGCACGCTAAGGCGGACACTGGGCCGCCAGATGGGCCGCCGCAAGTCCGCCTGCCTCTCTACTCAGGCGGGACATGCGATCGTGAGGTTTTGCTGTGCTTATAAAATCTTTCAGTAGTAAAAGAATAATGGGAATTAGAAAGAAAAAAAAAAGACCAAGGGGGAAACCTTCTATCAACAAAATTAAGGGGAAACCGGCTGGAAAGATGTCTGAGAGAAGGAGAACAAAGGGTTAAGAAATCTTCACTATAGGAAACATATAACTTGCTGAGTGAAACACTGAGACGCCAGTAGGTAAGAAGTAAACTAGAACATTTTCAGGAGAGAAAATGCAATTAGTAAAAACGTTCAGAAAAACAGCTCAATTCTTGTCAGACACGAGACGGGCAGCACCAGCGGGGTGGAGAGGAGACAGACCCCCTGATCGCCTCTTGGGAAAGCAAGTCAGTCACATATTGAAATCTTTCCAATGACTAACCCACAGCCTAACAATTCCATGCCCAAGGAGAGATCTAGCCTAGGGAAAGCACCACAGGAAAAGTTCTGCTCATCGCTGTTTACTGTGGTTTGATTTAATCTGTACCACTGTTTACAGAGGAAGAAAGCATGACACAGGGAGTGGAATAAATATTCCTGTCAGTAAAAGTAATCTTATGAAGTCTTTACCGGTGATCCTGAAAACGTTTACGTCGTGGTATTAAGTGAAAACGAGCAGGACACAAATTTACTTCTAACGGTCATACTGTGTAAGAAACAAGTTTAAAAAACCTGCAGGGGTGCCTGGGTGGCTCAGTCAGTTGAGCATCTGACTCTCGCTTTCAGTCCAGGTCATGATCTCACGGTTTGTGGCATCGAGCCCCACACTGGCCTCTGCACTGACAGTGTAGAACCTGCTTGGGATTCTCTCTCTCCCTCTCTCTCTCTCTCATTCTCTCTCTCAAAGTAAATAACTTAAAAAAAAAAAAAAACTATTAAAAAAAAAGTTTTTTAACGGACAGAAACATACCAAAATGTTCCAAGCAGTAAAGCTTTAATATTTTCCAAGTTGTTTTCAGTAAATGTATATTACTGTTAGTATTTTTAAAATACAGATCAAGGCAAGGGGCACGATGGCAGATAGTATTTTGTGAACCTCTATTCCTCTGTGGTTTAGACCCAGTAGGAAGCGGCTCTAGAATGCAACGCACATCTCCTGCTGTCAAAGCAACTGGCCTCCACGAAGGGAAAAAACCCCGGAATAAAGAACTCCACATTTATTTAGTTATTTTTTTAAAGTTTACTTATTTTGAGAGGCGGGGAGGGGCAGAGAGAGAGAGGGAGACAGAGAGACAGAGAGAGAACCCCAAGCAGGCTCTGAGCTGTCAGCACAGAACCCGATGTGGGGCTTGAACTCACAAAACCATGAGATCATGACCTGAGTGAAAATCAAGAGTAGGACGCTCAACTGACTGAGCCCCCCAGGTGCCCCAAGATCACCGCATTTATTGCTAAAGATAACCTAAATCGTGGTAACCATTGCCATTGCTGTCGGAAGCCGCGAAGGGCCTCCTGCGCACCAGCACTGTTCTAGAAGCTTCCATGCATGGGACACACCCTGAAATTCGCTCAACCTCATGACTCAGGTGGACAATGCCCCACAGCGAATCTGCGGTTAGAACCAGGAAAATCGAGGGAAGCCCACTGGCAGGTAATATTTTCTGTTCTGCGACCTGCCTTCGTGCCGGGGCGTCGGGATGGACCCCTCGTGCAAGGCTGCACAGAAGCACATCGCTGGGCCTACCAGGGTCGATTTAACAACTCTCAAACCCCGGGCCAGAGGTCCAGGCCCCGCTCACTTTTCTCTAGCCCGTACAGGCTGCAGGGCACGCATTCTCCCTGCGGAAGTGCGGGCGGCCACGGCTGTGGGCTCACCCCCCAGACGCAAGGTCACACGCCACCCCCACCGTCGGAGGAGGACTCTGCACGAAGCCCTCGCAGCCTCGCCCTCCCCGAGAGGTCCCCCCAGCCAGGCCCGCTGGCCATCGCCTGCCCTTCAGGTCCCTGACTCTGGGAACCCGGGTCGGGGGCCCCGGAGGGTTAAGTCCCCGCACCGTCCAGCCCCACCCGGGGGCCGCGCACCCGCAGTAGAAGACGGCCTTCTGCCAGGAGCGAAGCCGGTCCACCTTCTCCGCCACCGTGTTGGCAAACTCGATGAACTGGCAGCAGAAGGGCGCCTCGCAGAGCAGCAGGATGAAGGCGTTCATGCTGGAGGGCGGGGAGAGAGGCTGGTGGGCTGACAGGGTCGGGGAGGGGCGCCCCAATGCCCACCGGAGTGCCGCTCCCCCTCCCCCGGCTCCTCCTCAGCGCCTCTGCGGAGCCGCTCCCCACCCGAGGGCCAGAGCCTTCCCTTCACCCCTCCTGTCTCGGAAGGTGCCCCTCAGCTCTGGCCGCCCCTCGGCCACCCCGTTACCGCCACGGTCACCGACATCGTCGTCTGCGCGGGGAAAGCTGTCCCCGGCAGCGGCTCACCCATCAGGACGGCCAGGAGGAGGTCATCAGCCCACAGCAGTCACTGGGGGCTGACCCCTGGGAAGCCCACACGGGGAGGAGGGCACCTAGCAAGCCCCGTACCCTGCCCCTCCTTCCTGTGTTCCGGCTGGGGACAGCGAAGCCACGGAGACAGACCGAGGGGGTCTGCTCCAGTCTTTGTTCTCCACGGCTGGGTCACGGTCACAGACGCCGGGCCCTCAAAGAATGCCACAGCAAGCCTGCGTCCACCCCAAGCCTCGGAGGAAAGTGCCCTCATTACCTACCAGGGACAGAACCCAAGCTGAGGTGCCCCGGGAGCCCACCTGAGCCCAGAGCAGGGACTCTGCACAACTCACACGCCCCCTGCTACAGGCCAGTCCCCCCAACCCCCCCACATCCAGGCCGGCCGGTCTCCTGACTGCCTCTGGCCAGCACAGGCCTCCGGGCCCCGGGCCCCGCTCCCACAGGCCTTACCACTGGCCTGAGTTCCCTGAGGGCAGGGTCCCACCCTGTCCGCCTCTGTGTCCCTCCCAGGCCAAGCCCCACGTGGGCACCGACGATGCTTGGTGCACAGCCACTTCTCACGCACAGGTGGCTCAGGCACGGCCAGAGTTTCACTGGCTGATTCTCACCCCACCCCCTCCGCCTTCCCTTCCAACGGGATCGGGCTACCCAGGCAGGAGGGGGGCAGGGAACTCACCTGGGCCCTTCTAGCCCCTGGTCCCACACCAGCTCTAACCTGCCCCGTCTGGCTTGCCCACCTCCGACCTGGAGCTCCCAGCACCTGACTCCAATCCCACCAGACACCAAGCCTCCACCAAGCCTCCTCCAGCAACCCTGATGGCCCCCGAGCTCCCACAGGCCAGGCCCCTGGTAGCAGACACAGTGCCTGCAGAGTCTCACTCCGTGGACACTCGGGAGGCATTTGTGACCCCGGCCCTAAACCCAATGGAGGCCTGGGTGAGTGTCCCCCCTGGCCTGGCCCTAATGAGAATCAGGACAAGTGAACACGGCAGGGTGGAAAGGAGGTGAAGACCCCCGCAAGGCGACCAGAAATCCACGTGCCCCCAGCCCCATGGGGCAGGACAGTCACGGGGCTACTCACATCATCCACACGCCGGCCGCGATGTTCAGAGGGTGGATGGTGACGCAGTTGAAGAGGCCCGAGATGGCGCAGGCTTGAAAGCAGACAGGAGCCGGAATTAGCAGGCAGGAAGGGACAGAGCCTGCCAGGGAAGACCCCTGGCAGACCCTTTCCGACACCCAGCACTGCACCCTGCCATCTGAGACAAGCGAGGTCCCTGTAAGTCCCCCACGTCGTGGGTGAGGACCCAGACTGGGAGAGGTGAGGCAGCTTGGCCCAGACCCCACGGCAAGGGTGCGGCCGGCTGCAAGGGCATCTCACCCTGTCTCCAGTCCAGGGCCTGGAGGGCCGGCCTCCGCACCCCAGCTGTACCAATACCCGCTGCAAGGCATCGAACGTGAAAAAAGAGGATCTCAGGCCTCAGGTTCAGGCAGGTGTCACCATTCACAGGGCTGGCCACACAAGAAGCCTCTGACGCCAAAAATGAGGCTTGGATTTTGCTGGGGCGAGGCCTGCTGCCCCTCCGGGAACAAAAATTGGGACCAGGTAGACCTGGGTCACAATCCCAGCTGTGACCTGCACACCAGCTGAAGAACCTTGGGGACGTCCTCGTCACTTTTTGAGGCCTGTTTTGTCCCCTGAGTGCGGGCAAGTGCCACAGCCCGGCCCAGCCACCCCTGAAACACCAGGCCCTGAAAGTGGCTTCTCCGGGGTCCCAAGTGTGGAGCCTCGCCCAGTGCTCCCAACCGCACCCCGAGGGGTGGGCGTGCCACACTCCCCTCGCTTCTCCCTACAGCCAGCAGCCCAGCTTCACCAAGAACTGGCGGTTCCCAGGCACAGGCTCCCAGCTGGAAGCAAAGCCCTGCCCAGGGCCATAGCTGGGGTGGGACTGGAAGCTGGGCCCCGAGGCAGCAATCAGCAGCCAGTTCATTAAACTTGCAGCAGCTCGCCTGGCACCTGATCCCTGCCCGGGCCTGCAATTCTCCTGCTGTTCTCCCAGGTAACCCTATACGGGCTGCAGGGGGAGGATGAAACCAGACGAAGTGAACCCAGACTGCAGGGGGCCTGCCCTCACGCGGTCCCAAGGTCTCCTAGAGGGACGGAGGCACTTTCTGCCTACTAGCGGCACTCAGCCTGGACACGTCCCATTAGCCTCCAGGCAGCAAGGTTCCCCGGAGACACAGAACACAGACCTGAGTGCCCACAAGACAATGCCCCTGCTGAGTCAGTACTTCTCCTCCAGCTCTGACCCTGCCCCCACTGTCCCACCAACGGCCCACCTTAGGGGAGGACGAGGTTTCAACCCAGAAAGAAGGCTGGAGCAAGGAGTCCTTTAACAATCCAGCCCGGAGGGTGTCTCACCCCTTGGAGATCCGGACGTTCTGCCTAAAGTGACCAGCTGGAAGCACAGCCCTTATCTGAATTCCTGTTTCATCACTCAAACTTTTTTAAGATTTTATTTTTAAGTAATCTCTACACCCAACGTGGAGCTTGGACTCACAACTCCAAGATCAAGAGTCGCAGGCTCTACTGACTCAGCCAGCGGGGCGCCCCGCATCGCATCCCTAAAACTCTTGCCTTGCACCCCGCCCTGCGATCTCCTATTTGGTATTTGCATAACAATCACCTCCCCCCAAATACTCAGGTGAAACCGACACAAGTTTCTCCTGATGCTTCTGGAGTAGCCCCAACACCATGAACTCCTGGGGCGGCCCAGGTACCTCACTTTAAGAAGCACAGAACGGGATGGGAGACCAGGGTTAACCCGGGAGCCAGCAGGGCTGCTGAATCCAAGGCAGAGGGAGGGTGAGGGCCCAGAGGCCACAGGCAGAACTTTTCCTTTCTCCACCACTGGCCCCCTCACCCCCTACAGGACCCCCACTCTAGTCTGCAAGGAAAACAACTAGCCACACTTGAGAGGATCCTATCTAAAGCCCGATCCCGAGCCGCCAGTCTCTCCTACAAAGTCAAAAAGATGCTTGCTCTGACAGCAGTGACAGGGACTCAGGGGCCTTTTTGGGATCTGCAGAAGGGCCTGTCCCATGATCACCTCTGGATAAGGGTGTGCCCTTCTGCACAGCACACGCCTGACCCTGCACCCCTGAACTTCCTTCCAGCACCCAGCCACCTGGGACGACTGTGGGACAGGCAGGGGACCCTGAGCAGTGTTCCCTCCGGCCGACTTGATCAGGATCTGCCCTGCTCCCGCCCTCTGTGCCAAGCGGGCACTGTTCAAACCCACTCCAGTGATTCCCAAAGGTGAGGGCCGCAGGACAGGACAGCAGACCATTCGAACAGACCAGACACGTATTTGCCACATGAGCTTCATTTTACTCCTGCAGCAGGTCTGCCTTCCTAGCGGTGTTCTTTGGGCGGGGTGCTAAAAGAGCCTGGCTTCCGTGCAACTTGAGGTCAAGACGTGTGTCGGGATGGCGCTGGGGGAATATGAAGAGGGGAGAGGAGCGGTGGCCGACGCAGAGTCGACAGCAGAGGGAATGCACTGGCCTCGGAGTGGACAGTGAGGACCCAGATGCTCACTGCCCGGCCCTCCCTCGAGGACTACTTGTGCCCGGGCACCACCCGCCCATGTTTAAACAGCCTTGGCCCAAAGGTTAAGGGGGCCTCCGCCCGCGCCAACAGGTGAGGCTGCCTCCCGGCCGGGCAGTGCTGCGCTCTCCCGGCAACATACGGGAGGTCTCGGAAAGCCCCCGGGGCAGAGGCCGCACGCACCGTCCCGGCGCTCAGATGCGGCGCGGGGGGGCAGTAACTCGGCCACGGTAGTTCACGTTCCCTCCTGGAATGTCCCCAGCGCCGCCAGCCCAGCCGCGGGCCCCGCGGGAGCCCGGGCCGCGGGGCCGGGACCATAGCAACCGCCAGGGCGTCCGCTCCGCGCGCGCCCACCCACCGCAGACCGCCCCCCGCCCCACCAGCCCCTCCCCGCGGGGGCGCGCCGGAGGGGCGGGGCCGAACACGCATGCGCGGTGGGCGGCGAGGCCGACCCCTCCCCCGGGCCGGGTACTCACAGACGGCCCCCAGCACCCCCGACAGGCGACACAGCCAGCGGTACCACCACGTCATGCCCTCCTCCTGCGCGGGCGGCGCGGAGCTGACGGACGCTGTCGACGCCCCGCCCGAGCCGCTCATGGTGCCGCTGTCTGGCGCAGCCCGCCACCCTCACAAAGGGCTCCGGAGCCGGCCGCGTTGGCCCGGCGCGCTGCCTTGTGGGAGAGGCGGCCGCTCATTAGCATAAGGGGCGTGCCTCGCAGGGCGGTGGCGGGTGCGCCCGAGGGTCTCGCGCTGATCAGCATAGGGGGCGGGGCCTGGCGGCACCCGCCCTCCCGGGTGGTCAGGTCCTCCCAGCCGGACCAGCACAGGGGCGGGGCCTCGCAGAGAATTAACGAGTGTGCCAGCGTGGGGGCTCATTCTCGACCCCACGCTCCCTCGTCCCTCCTTCTTGGGTAGAGAAAAAGAAGACCGCCACGGGTGGCGTGGGGCTTGTTCAGCTCAGTATTGGGTCTAGAGCCCTGCCGCTGCCAGGGAATTCCGGCAATGCCCTGGGGTGGGTTTTCAAGGCAGATTGGACAGGTTATGTGAAGAAAAACGCTACTCAGACTGCACATTCCGTTTATTGGTACAGAGGGACTTGGTGACTGCCTTTCCAGACAGAGTCCAGACCCTGCCTCCCGCCGCCTAGCCTTTTGCATGTTGGAGGAGGCCCTAAAGGAGATACTTAAGATTGGACGGAATTCAAATTGGAAAGCACTCAGAGACCAGAGTCAACCCTCTGGGGCTTGCCAGGCACCTAACAGGTGCTCATAAATGTCAAGTTCGTTTCTTTCCTTTCCAGAACCTGGAGGAGACATCCTACTGTGCACGCAGGGCACTGGAGGTTTGTGCTTGGAGAGGAAGCTAGGGTACGGCCCAGCCAGGTTCCTGCACTCAAGATCCGAGGGTCCAGTACAGGCCCCACAGGCTAGCGCCCGCCTCCATGAAGCCCTGGCTAAACTCCATCTCAGCCTGGCTTCCCTCGGACTCCCAGTAGAGTGCCTGCTGCCCACGGAATGTCATCGTCTTCAGGCTGTGGATGTCCCGGATCTGAGGGGAAAGGGGCAGCCCCAGAGGGCCGGCCAAAAACGGTAGCTAGCATTTATGGTGCCTTTAATATACAAGGGACCATACACTCGGGGCCACACACTTAATCCTCACACAACAGCCCTGTCAGGAAGCCACTACTATTCTACCCAGGAAACAGGTTCAGAGAAGTTGTATTACTTCCCCAAGGACACACAGCCAGGATGTGAGAGATGGGTTCTGAGCCCAGGTCTGTCTAATTCCAGAAGCCAGGTTGCCTCCAGCAGGGGAGCTGACACTTTGCAGAGGGCAGTTCTCCCAGAACACACAGACCTCATGGGAGGAGGGTTTGATCCACTCTTCTGGAAAAGTTATATCAGGATCTAAAATTATGCTTGAGTTCTGGGTTAACTGTCTACATCAGAAAAGGTCTTGTCTATTTCACTCCTGTGGGGAGCTCAGTAAACATCTGTTGGTGAGTAAGTGGAGGAAACTCTTCTCTCTCATTCTTTCACAAATGATTTTGAGGTTTGGGGGCAAAGTGGGTATAGCACCCCCAGTTCTCATCCCCAGGGACAGCTGTCTAGACTCATAGCAAAAGTCAACCCATTCTTGTCCCCATCCTGGTAGCCTTACCAAGATGTGGCTGGCATCAGTGCCTGTGCCCACGCTGGTGACCAGGGCATGGATGGCAATGCGGGCCCGTGGAGCCACATTGATGAAGATGCGGCAGCCCCCCAGGTTCCTCCCACGTGGACTCATCGAGGGGCTTACGATTTTACCCCAGGGTCCAAAGAGCTGCATATCACACTCTGCAGAGGAGAGCAGGTGGATGGGCTGGGTGTGGGCCACTTCAGGACCTAGCAGCCCTGGGAAAGACCACTAATGCCAGAGGCCAGGGCGGCTCACAGCCAGGGGGCAGTGAAGGGGGGCAATATGGCATTGTGGTCAAGATCAGGTCTCCGCCACAGAAGCCCTCGCCGAACCCCACCTGTACCACTTTCTGCTGTGAGACCCTAGGCGAAGGCGTTAAATGCTCTGAGCTTCAGTTCCCTCCTCTGTAAAGTGAAGGTAACTGTCACAAAGGCCAATGACATTAGGAGCCCACGGGAGCCCCGCCTGCCTGTGCCTCCTGCCCGTGCCCCTGGTGAGGCAAGAGCCCATGTGGGGGAGGGAGGCCAGAAGAGAGGAGCCTGAGAAGGGGCGGCCCGCCCTTGAGCACTCAATGCCTGTGCTCAGGCACCAAAAAGCTACTCGCTGAGGGGGGGGGG